CTCTAAGAATCTGTTGCTATGAGTTTTTGTTCGACTGCTTCATTCTTTGAAACAAGAAATTTACAATAAATACAGAATTCAAGTTGAATTCTGAAAATTTTAGAATTTTTGTCGAAAATAGTTTTCAATAATGTAAAGAAAATTAAAGATTGAAGACTTTTTAAGTTACTTCACTAATCCGAAAAAGTTAATTTAATAAAAAAAAAATGCCTGATCTATAGTAACCACTAATGCCCTTTAGCACCATCTTTGTTCTGTAAATCTCACTTACCAATTTAGCTCCAAGAATGTAATTCTTTTGCTCTGATACGGTTCATTACAGCGACCAAAGACCTAACTCCAGTCACCTCTACTGAACTCAAAGACTGAATTTGGTCTTATTCGCCCTGTAATTTCTAATAATTAAAAGGAAGAATTAAAGAATTTAAATCATTCGTTTCTAAAATAAAATCATTCTAATTAATGTTCTGAATCAGAAAATTTTAAAATCGCAATACGAACTAAAGCACTGCCTTGTTTAGCAACTTTTTAGTTGTGTGTGTGTGTGTGTGTGTGTGTGTGTGTGTGTGTGTGTATTATTGTGAATTTGCAATGTGCAAACTAAAAATATTCGCGTGAATTTTTCAAATATTTTCAAGTAGATCTTTATGGAGATTTCGAAAAGTTACAATTTGGAAAAAAAGAAATTGAAATGGATGAAGTCACTGAATGAAAGATTTTGTCTTGACACATATTTTAATTAATTTATGCAGTTCACTATTTCATTTATTTTTCCAGCTTGTTGAGAGGTTTCTCGGGTAAGAAAAACATCGATTTATAGAAAGATAAGGGACAGGAGGACGTAATTTGATTTTCAGAAAACATTAGTGAATTTGGTGTCAGAATTAGACATAGATAGATGATAAACTGATTACACATAGATAGATAATAATTTAACGCTAAAATTAGACTAGATAACGCTCAGAATTAGATTATAGATAACGCTCAGAATAGACATAGATAGATAACGCTCAAATTAGACATAGATAGATAACGCTCAGAATTAGACATAGATAACGCTCAGAATTAGGATATGCTAGAAGAATTAGACATAGATAGATAACGCTCAGAATTAGACACATAGATAGATAACGGACAGAATTAGACATAGATAGATAACGCTCAGAATTAGACATAGATAGATAACGCTCAATTAGACATAGAATTAGACATAGATAGATAAACGACAGAATTAGACATATAGATAGATAACGCTCAGAATTAGACATAGATAGATAACGGACAGAATTAGACATAGATAGATAACGGACAAATTAGACATAGATAGATAACGCTCAGAATTAGACATAGATAGATAAGGGACAGAATTAGACATAGATAGATAACGGACAGAATTAGACATAGATAGATAACGCTCAGAATTAGACATAGAATTAGACATAGATAGATAACGCTCAGAATTAGACATAGATAGATAACGCTCAGAATTGAACATAGATAGATAAGGGACAGAATTAGACATAGATAGATAACGCTCAGAATTAGACATAGATAGATAAAGCTTAGACATAATTAGACATAGATAGATAACGCTCAAATTAGATTAGATAGATAACATAGATAGATAGATAAAGGCTCAGAATTAGACATAGATAGATAACGCTCAGAATTGAACATGAATAGATAACGCTCAGAATTAGACATAGATAGATAACGCTCAGAATTAGACATAGATAGATAACGGACAGAATTAGACATAGATAGATAAGTTACAGAATTAGACATAGATAGATAACGCTCAGAATTAGACATAGATAGATAACGCTCAGAGTTAGACATAGATAGATAAGGGACAGAATTAGACATAGATAGATAAGGGACAGAATTAGACATAGATAGATAACGCTCAGAATTAGACGTAGATAGATAACGCTCAGAATTAGACATAGATAGATAACGCTTAGAATTAGACATAGATAGATAACGGACAGAATTAGACATAGATAGATAACGGGACAGAATTAGACATAGATAGATAACGCTCAGAATTAGACATAGATAGATAACGCTCAGAATTAGACATAGATAGATAACGCTCAGAATTAGACATAGATAGATAACGGACAGAATTAGACATAGATAGATAACGCTTAGAATTAGACATAGATAGATAACGCTCAGAATTAGACATAGATAGATAACGCTCAGAATTAGACATAGATAGATAAGGGACAGAATTAGACATAGATAGATAACGCTCAGAATTAGACATAGATAGATAACGCTCAGAATTAGACATAGATAGATAACGCTTAGAATTAGACATAGATAGATAACGGGACAGAATTAGACATAGATAGATAACAGAATTAGACATAGATAGATAACGCTCAGAATTAGACATAGATAGATAACGCTCAGAATTAGACATAGATAGATAACGACAGAATTAGACATAGATAGATAACGCTCAAATTAGATTAGACATAGATAGATAACGCTCAGAATTAGACATAGATAGATAAGGGACAGAATTAGACATAGATAGATAACGCTCAGAATTAGACATAGATAGATAACGCTCAGAATTAGACATAGATAGATAACGACAGAATTAGACATAGATAGATAACGCTCAGAATTAGACATAGATAGATAACGCTCAGAATTAGACATAGATATAAGACATAGATAGATAACGCTCAGAATTAGACATAGATAACGTCATAGATAGATAAGGGACAGAATTAGACATAGATAGATAACGCTCAGAATTAGACATAGATAGATAACGCTCAGAATTAGACATAGATAGATAACGGACAGAATTAGACATAGATAGATAACGCTCAGAATTAGACATAGATAGATAACGCTCAGAATTAGACATAGATAGATAACGCTCAGACATAGATAGATAATGCTCATAGACATAGATAATAACGCTCAGAATTAGACATAGATAATATAGAATTAGACATAGATAGATAACGCTCAGAATTAGACATAGATAGATAACGCTCAGAATTAGACATAGATAGATAACAGAATTAGACATGATGACAGAATTAGACATAGATAGATAACGCGAATTAGACATAGATAGATAAAGGACAGAATTAGACATAGATAGATAAAGCTCAGAATTAGACATAGATAGATAAGGGACAGAATTAGACATAGATAGATAACGCTCAGAATTAGACATAGATAGATAACGCTCAGAATTAGACATAGATAGTAACGCTCAGAATTAGACATAGATAGATAACGCTCAGAATTAGACATAGATAGATAACGCTCAGAATTAGACATAGATAGATAACGGCAGAATTAGACATAGATAGATAACGCTTAGAATTAGACATAGATAGATAACGCTCAGAATTAGACATAGATAGATAACGCTCAGAATTAGACACATAGAATTAGACATAGATAGATAACGGACAGAATTAGACATAGATAGATAACGCTCAGAATTAGACATAGATAGATAACGCTCAGAATTAGACATAGATAGATAACGCATAGATAGATAAGGACAGAATTAGACATAGATAGATAACGCTTAGACATAGATAGATAACGGACAGAATTAGACATAGATAGATAACGCTCAGAATTAGACATAGATAGATAACGCTCAGAATTAGAGATATAGATAGAATTAGACATAGATAGATAACGCTCAGAATTAGACATAGATAGATAACGCTCAGAATTAGACATAGATAGATAAATGGGACAGAATTAGACATAGATAACGCTCAGAATTAGACATAGATAGATAACGGACAGAATTAGACATAGATAGATAAGGGACAGAATTAGACATAGATAGATAACGCTCAGAATTAGACATAGATAGATAACGCTCAGAATTAGACATAGATAGATAACGCTCAGAATTAGACATAGATAGATAACGCTCAGAATTAGACATAGATAGATAACGCTCAGAATTAGACATAGATAGATAACGCTCAGAATTAGACATAGATAGATAACGCTCAGAATTAGACAGATAGATAACGAATTAGACATTAGACATAGATAGATAACGCTCAGAATTAGACATAGATAGATAAACAGAATTAGACTCGCTCAGAATTAGACATAGATAGATAACGCTCAGAATTAGACATAGATAGATAAGGGACAGAATTAGACATAGATAGATAACGCTCAGAATTAGACATAGATAGATAACGCTCAGAATTAGACATAGATAGATAAGGGACAGAATTAGACATAGATAGATAACGCTCAGAATTAGACATAGATAGATAACGCTCAAATTAGACATAGATAGATAAGGGACAGAATTAGACATAGATAGATAACGCTCAGAATTAGACATAGATAGATAACGCTCAGAATTAGACATAGATAGATAAACGGACAGAATTAGACATAGATAGATAACGCTCAGAATTAGACATAGATAGATAAGATAGAATTAGACATAGATAGATAACGCTCAGAATTAGACATAGATAGATAACGGACAGAATTAGACATAGATAGATAACGCTCAGAATTAGACATAGATAGATAACGCTCAGAATTAGACATAGATAGATAACGCTCAGAATTAGACATAGATAGATAACAACTCAAATTAGACATAGATAGATAACGCCCATAGAATTAGACATAGATAGATAACGCTCAGAATTAGACATAGATAGATAACGGGACAGAATTAGACATAGATAGATAACGCTCAGAATTAGACATAGATAGATAACGCTCAGATTTACATAGATAGATAACGGGACAGAATTAGACATAGATGAATAACGCTCAGAATTAGACATAGATAGATAACGGACAAAATTAGACATAGATAGATAACGCTCAGATAGACATAGATAGATAACATTAGACATAGATAGATAACGCTCAGAATTAGACATAGATAGATAAGGGACAGAATTAGACATAGATAGATAACGCTCAGAATTAGACATAGATAGATAACAGCTAGATAACGCTCAAATTAGACATAGATAGATAACGGACAGAATTAGACATAGATAGATAACGCTCAGAATTAGACATAGACAACGCTCAGAATTAGATAGATAGATAAAGCTCAGAATTAGACATAGATAGATAACGCTCAGAATTAGACATAGATAGATAACGGACAGAATTAGACATAGATAGATAACGCTCAGAATTAGACATAGATAGATAACGCTCAGAATTAGACATAGATAGATAACGGACAGAATTAGACATAGATAGATAACGGACAGAATTAGACATAGATAGATAACGCTCAAATTAGACATAGATAGATAAAGGCTCAGAATTAGACATAGATAGATAACGCTCAGAATTAGACATAGATAGATAAGGGACAGAATTAGACATAGATAGATAACGCTCAGAATTAGACATAGATAGATAACGCTTTAGAATTAGACATAGATAGATAATAGATAACGCTCAGAATTAGACATAGATAGATAACGCTCAGAATTAGACATAGATAGATAAGGGACAGAATTAGACATAGATAGATAACGCTCAGAATTAGACATAGATAGATAACGCTCAGAATTAGACATAGATAGATAAGGGACAGAATTAGACATAGATAGATAACGCTCATTAGACATAGATAGATAACGGACAGAATTAGACATAGATAGATAACGCTCAGAATTAGACATAGATAGATAACGCTCAGAATTAGACATAGAATTAGACATAGATAGATAACGCTCAGAATTAGACATAGATAGATAACGAATTAGACATAGATAGATAACGCAGAATTAGACATAGATAGATAACGCTCAGAATTAGACATAGATAGATAAGGGACAGAATTAGACATAGATAGATAACGCTCAGAATTAGACATAGATAGATAACGCTCAGAATTAGACATAGATAGATAACGCTCAGAATTAGACATAGATAGATAACGCTCAGAATTAGACATAGATAGATAAGGGACAGAATTAGACATAGATAGATAACGCTCAGAATTAGACATAGATAGATAAGGGACAGAATTAGACATAGATAGATAACGCTCAGAATTAGACATAGATAGATAACGCTCAGAATTAGACATAGATAGATAACAGAATTAGACATAGATAGATAACTCAGAATTAGACATAGATAGATAAAGGACAGAATTAGACATAGATAGATAACGCCTCAGAATTAGACATAGATAGATAACGCTCAGAATTAGACATAGATAGATAAGATAGATAACGACAGAATTAGACATAGATAGATAACGACATTAGACATAGATAGATAACGCTCAGAATTAGACATAGATAGATAACGCTCAGAATTAGACATAGATAGATAAGGGACAGAATTAGACATAGATAGATAACGCTCAGAATTAGACATAGATAGATAAGGACAAAATTAGACATAGATAGATAACGCAGAATCAGAATTAGACATAATAGATAAGAATTAGACATAGATAGATAAGGGACAGAATTAGACATAGATAGATAACGCTCAGAATTAGACATAGATAGATAACGCTCAGAATTAGACATAGATAGATAACGCTCAGAATTAGACATAGATAGATAACGCCTCAGAATTAGACATAGATAGATAACATAGATAAAACGGTAGACATAGATAGATAACGCTCATAGATAGATAACAAGAATTAGACATAGATAGATAACGCTCAGAATTAACATAGATAGATAACGCTCAGAATTAGACATAGATAGATAACGCTCAGAATTAGACATAGATAGATAACGCTCAAAATTAGACATAGATAGATAAGGGACAGAATTAGACATAGATAAATGATAACGCTCAGAATTAGACATAGATAGATAACAGAATTACAAATTAGACATAGATAGATAATAAGGGACAGAATTAGACATAGATAGATAACGATCAGAATTAGACATAGATAGATAACGACAGAATTACAGAATTAGACATAGATAGATAACGCTCAGAATTAGACATAGATAGATAACGCTCAGAATTAGACATAGATAGATAACGGACAGAATTAGACATAGATAGATAACGCTCAGAATTAGACATAGATAGATAACGCTCAGAATTAGACATAGATAGATAACGGACAGAATTAGACATAGATAGATAACGGGACAGAATTAGACATAGATAGATAACGCTCAGAATTAGACATAGATAGATAACGGACAGAATTAGACATAGATAACGATCAAATTGGACATCAGATATTAGACATAGATAGATAACGCTCAGAATTAGACATAGATAGGGACAAATTAGAATAGATAGATAACGCTCAGAATTAGACATAGATAGATAACGGACAAAATTAGACATAGATAGATAACGCTCAGAATTAGACATAGATAGATAACGCTCAGAATTAGACATAGATAGATAACGGACAGAATTAGACATGAATAGATAACGCTCAGAATTAGACATAGATAGATAAGGGACAGAATTAGACATAGATAGATAACGCTCAGAATTAGACATAGATAGATAACGCTCAGAATTAGACATAGATAGATAAGGGACAGAATTAGACATAGATAGATAACGCTCAAATTAGACATAGATAGATAACGACAGAATTAGACATAGATGAATAGACAGAATTAGACATAGATAGATAACGCTCAGAATTAGACATAGATAGATAAGGGACAAAATTAGACATAGATAGATAACGCTCAGAATTAGACATAGATAGATAACGCTCAGAATTAGACATTAGATAGATAGATAACGCTCAACATTAGACATAGATAGATAACAGAAGCAGAATTAGACATAGATAGATAAGGGACAAGAATTAGACATAGATAGATAACGCAGAATTAGACATAGATAGATAACGCTCAGAATTAGACATAGATAGATAACGCTCAGAATTAGACATAGATAGATAACGCTCAGAATTAGACATAGATAGATAACATCAAATTAGACATATAGATAATGACTCAGAATTAGACATAGATAGATAAAGCAACTCAGAATTAGACATAGATAGATAACGGAATTAGACATAATAGATAACGACAAATTAGACATAGATAATAACGCTCAGAATTAGACATAGATAGATAACGCTCAGAATTAGACATAGATAGATAACGGCAGAATTAGACATAGATAGATAACGCTCAGAATTAGACATATATAGATAAAGCACAGAATTAGACATAGATAGATAAGGGACAGAATTAGACATAGATAGATAACGCTCAGAATTAGACATAGATAGATAACACTCAGAATTAACATAGATGAATAAGGACAGAATTAGACATAGATAGATAACGCTCAGAATTAGACATAGATAGATAACGCTCAGAATTAGACATAGATAGATAACGGACAGAATTAGACATAGATGAGATAACGGACAGAATTAGACATAGATAGATAACGCTTAAATTAGACATAGATAACGCTCAGAATTAGACATAGATAGATAAAGGGACAGAATTAGACATAGATAGATAACAGAATTAGACATAGATAGATAACGCAAGAATTAGACATAGATAGATAACGGACAGAATTAGACATAGATAGATAACGCTCAAATTAGACATAGATAGATAACGGACAGAATTAGACATAGATAGATAACGCTCAGAATTAGACATAGATAGATAACGCTCAGAATTAGACATAGATAGATAAGGAAAAGGATAGATAGATAACGCTCAGAATTAGACATAGATAGATAACATATAATTAGACATAGATAGATAACGCTCAGAATTAGACATAGATAGATAACGACAGAATTAGACATAGATAGATAACGGACAGAATTAGACATAGATAGATAACAGAATTAGACATAGATAGATAAAGGGACAGAATTAGACATAGATAGATAACGCTCAGAATTAGACATAGATAGATAAAGACAGAATTAGACATAGATAGATAACGCTCAGAATTGAGACATGGATAGATAATAGCTCAGAATTAGACATAGATAGATAAGGACATGAATGGAATTAAGAATTTAGACATGGTAGATAACGCTCAGATAGATAGACGGACAGAATTAGACATAGATAGATAACGCTCAGAATTAGACATAGATAGATAACGCTCAAATTAGACATAGATAGATAACGGACAGAATTAGACATAGATAGATAAGGGACAGAATTAGACATAGATAGATAACGCTCAAATTAGACATAGATAGATAACAGAATTACTCAGAATTAATTAGACATAGATAGATAACGGACAGAATTAGACATAGATAGATAACGCTCAGAATTAGACATAGATAGATAGGGACAGAATTAGACATAGATAGATAACGCTCAGAATTAGACATAGATAGATAACGCTCAGAATTAGACATAGATAGATAAGGGACAGAACATAGATAGATAACATAATTAGACATAGATAGATAACGCTCAGAATTAGACATGAATGAATAGGGACAGAATTAGACATGAATAGATAACGCTCAGAATTAGACATAGATAGATAACGCTCAGAATTAGACATAGATAGATAACGCCAGAATTAGACACATATATAGATAACGCTCAGAATTAGACATAGATAGATGGCAACTCAGAATTAACTCTCAGAATTAGATAGATAACGCTCAGAATTAGACATAGATAGATAAGGGACAGAATTAGACATAGATAGATAACGCTCCAGAATTAGACATAGATAGATAACGCTCAGAATTAGACATAGATAGATAAAGGACAGAATTAGACATAGATAGATAACGCTCAGAATTAGACATAATGATAACGCTCAGAATTAGACATAGATAGATAAGGGACAGAATTAGACATAGATAGATAACTCCTGGGAATTAGACATAGATAGATAACCCTCAGAATTAGACATAGATAGATAAAGGGACAGAAATTAGAATTAGACATAGATAGATTAGACATAGATAGATAACGCTCAGAATTAGACATAGATAGATAAAGGGACAGAATTAGACATAGATAGATAACGCTCAGAATTAGACATGAATAGATAACGCTCAGAATTAGACATAGATAGTAACGCTCAGAATTAGACATAGATAGATAACGCTCAGAATTAGACATAGATAACGGACAGAATTAGACATAGATAGATAACAGAATTAGACATAGATAGATAACGCTCAGAATTAGACATAGATAGATAAGGGACAGAATTAGACATAGATAGATAACGCTCAGAATTAGACATAGATTAGATAACCCTTAGAATGAACATAGATAGATAAGGGACAGAATTAGACATAGATAGATAACGCTCAGAATTAGACATAGATAGATAAAGGGACAGAATTAGACATCACGCTCAGAATTAGACATAGATAGATAGGAGAATTAGACATGGAATAGACAGAATTAGACATAGATAGATAACTTAGAATTAACTCAGAATTAGACATAGATAGATAACGCTCAGACAGAATTAGACATTAGATAGATAATGCTCAGAATTAGACATAGATAGATAACGCTCAGAATTAGACATAGATAGATAGATAAAGATAGATAAGGACAGAATTAGACATAGATAGATAACGCTCAGAATTAGACATAGATAGATGGCAACAAATTAGACATAGATAGATAATGGACAGAATTAAACATAGATAGATAACGCTCAGAAATTAGACATAGATAGATAACGACAGAATTAGACATAGATAGATAAGGGACAGAATTAGACATAGATAGATAACGCTCAGAATTAGACATAGATAGATAAAGGGACAGAATTAGACATAGATAGATAACGCTCAGAATTAGACATAGATAGATAACGCTCAGAACATAGATAGATAGATAAGGGACATATTAGACATAGATAGATAACAACTCAGAATTAGACATAGATGAGATAATGCTCAGAATTAGACATAGATAGATAAAGGGACAGAATTAGACATAGATAGATAACGCTCAGGAATTAGACATAGATAGATAACGGACAGAATTAGACATAGATAGATAACGCTCAGAATTAGACATAGATAGATAACGCTCAGAATTAGACATAGATAGATAACAAATTGACAGATATCAGAATTAGACATAGATAGATAACGCTCAGAATTAGACATTAGATAGATAACGCTCAGAATTAGACATAGATAGATAAGGGACAGAATTAGACATAGATAGATAACGCTCAGGAATTAGACATAGATAGATAACGCTCAGAATTAGACATAGATAGATAAAGGGACAGAATTAGACATAGATAGATAACGCTCAGAATTAGACATAGATAGATAAAGGGACAGAATTAGACATAGATAGATAACGCTCAGAATTAGACATAATAGATAACGACAGAATTAGACATAGATAGATAACACTCAGAATTAGACATAGATAGATAACGCTCAGAAATTAGACATAGATAGATAACTCTCAGAATTAGACATAATGCTCAGGAGGACAGAATTAGACATAGATAGATAACGCTCAGAATTAGACATAGATAGATAACGCTCAGAATTAGACATAGATAGATAACGCTTAGAATTAGACATAGATAGATAACGGGACAGAATTAGACATGATAGATTACGCTCAGAATTAGACATAGATAGATAACGCTCAGAATTAGACATAGATAGATAAGGACAGAATTAGACATAGATAGCTCAGAATTAACATAGATAGATGCTCTCAAATTAGAATTCATATAGGGACATAGATAGATAGATAACGCTCAGAATTAGACATGTAGATAGATAAGGAACAGAATTAGACATAGATAGATAACTCAGAATTAGACATAGATAGATAAATTGTCAGAATTATATATAGATAGATAAGGGACAGATATTAGACATTTGAGAATAGATAACAGAGATTAGACATAGATTAACGCTCAAAATTAGACATAGATAGATAACGCTCAGAATTAGACATAGATAGATAAAGGGACAGAATTAGACATGAATGGATAACGCTCAGAATTAGACATAGATAGTAACGCTCACAATTAGACATAGATAGATAACGCTCAGAATTAGACATAGATAGATAACGCTCAGAATTAGACATAGATAGATAACGCTTGAGAATTAGACATAGATAGATAACAACTCAGAATTAGACATAGATAGATAAAGGGACAGAATTAACATGCGCTCAGAAATTAGACATAGATAGATAAACGCTCAGAATTAGACATGAATGATAAGGGACAGAATTAGACATATAGATAGATAACGCTCAGAATTAGACATGAATAGATAACGCTCAGAATTAGACATAGATAACGGGACTCAGATAGATTAGACATAGATAGATAAAGCTCAGAATTAGACATAGATAGATAAGGGACAGAATTAGACATAGATAGATAAATGCTCAGAATTAGACATAGATAGATAACGCTCAGAATTAGACATATAGATAGATGTATCAGAATTAGACATAGATAGATAAGGCTCAGAATTAGACTGCCATAGATAGATAGGGACAGAATTAGACATAGATAGATAACGCTCAGAATTGACATAGATAGATAACGCTCCAGAATTTAGACATAGATAGATAACTCTCAGAATTAGACATAGATAGATAACGCTTATGAATAGACATAAGAATTAGACATAGATAGATAAGGGACAGAATTCAACGCATAGATAGATAACGCTCAGAATTAGACATAAGATAGATAAGGGACAGAATTAGACATAGATAGATAACTCCAAATTAGACATAGATAGATAAGGGACAGAATTAGACATAGATAGATAACGCTCAGAATTAGACATTAGATAGATGGGGACAGAATTAGACATAGATAGATAAGGGACCGAATTAGACATAGATAGATAACGCTCAGAATTAGACATAGATAGATAAGGGACAGAATTAGACATAGATAGATAACTCAGAATTAGACATAGATAGATAAGGGACAGAATTAGACATAGATAGATAACGACTGGGAATTAGACATAGATAGATAACGCTCAGAATTAGACATAGATAGATAAGGGACAGAATTAGACATAGATAGATAACGCTCAAATTAGACATAGATAGATAACGCTCAGAATTAGACATAGATAGATAAGGGACAGAATTAGACATAGATAGATAACGCTCAGAATTAGACATAGATAGATAATGATAACGCTCAAATTAGACATAGATAGATAAAGGGACAGAATTAGACATAGATAGATAACGCTCAGAATTAGACATAGATAGATAACGCTCAGAATTAGACATAGATAGATAAAAAGGGGACTCAGAATTAGACATAGATAGATAACGCTCAGAATTAGACATAGATAGATAACGCTCAGAATTAGACATAGATAGATAAGGGACAGAATTAGACATAGATAGATAACGCTCAGAATTAGACATAGATAGATAACGCTCAGAATTAGACATAGATAGATAACGCTCAGAATTAGACATAGATAGATAAGGGACAGAATTAGACATAGATAGATAACGCTCAGAATTAGACATAGATAGATAACGCTCAGAATTAGACATAGATAGATAAGGGACAGAATTAGACATAGATAGATAACGCTCAGAATTAGACATAGATAGATAAGGGACAGAATTAGACATAGATAGATAACGCTCAGAATTAGACATAGATAGATAACGCTCAGAATTAGACATAGATAGATAAGGGACAGAATTAGAATAGATAACAAATTAGACATTAGATGAACGCTCAGAATTAGACATAGATAGATAAGGGACAGAATTAGACATAGATAGATAACGCTCAGAATTAGACATGAATAGATAACGCTCAGAATTAGACATAGATAGATAACGCTCAGAATTAGACATAGATAGATAAAGGGACAGAATTACACATAAATAGATAACGCTCAGAATTGAACATAGATAGATAACGCTCTCAAATTAGACATAGATTGATTACGCTCAGAATTAGACATGAATGAATGATAGATAACAGAATTAGACATAGATAGATAATGCTCAGAATTAGACATAGATAGATAACGGACAGAATTAGACATAAATAGATAACGGACAGAATTAGACATAGATAGATAAGGGACAGAATTAGACATGGATAGATAACGCTCAGAATTAGACATAGATAGATAAAGCTCAGAATTAGACATAGATAGATAAGGACAGAATTAGACATAGATGAATGTACTCAAATTCGACATAGATAGATAAGGGACAGAATTGAACATAGATAGATAACGCTCAGAATTAGACATAGATAGATAACGCTCAGAATTAGTACTATGAATGAGGGACGCTCAGAATTAGACATAGAATAGATAACGCATCAGAATTAGACATAGATAGATAAAGGCAGAATTAGACATAGATGAATGGCAACAGAATTAGACATAGATAGATAACGCTCAGAATTAGACATAGATAGATAACGACAGAATTAGACATAGATAGATAAGGGACAGATTAGACATGAATAGATAACGCTCAGAATTAGACATGAATGAATGCAAGGACAGATTAGACATAGATAGATAACGCTCAGAATTAGACATGAATAGATAAAGCTCAGAATTAGACATAGATAGATAAAGGGACAGAATTAGACATGGATCAATAACGCTCAGAATTAGACATAGATAAAGGGACATAATTAGACGATAGATAACTCAGAATTAGACATAGATAGATAACGCTCAGAATTAGACATAGATAGATAAAGCTCAGAAATTAGACATAGATAGATAAACGCTCAGGAATTAGACATGAATGAATAACGCTCCAGAATTAGAACATAGATAGATAACGCTCAGAATTGAACAGATAGATAACGCTCAGAATTAGACATAGATAAATAAACACAGAATTAGACATAGATAAATAACGGACAAAATTAGACATAGATAGATAACGCTCAGAATTAGACATAAGATAGATAACGCTCAGAATTAGACATAGATAGATAAAGCTCAGAATTAGACATGAATAGATAACGCTCACAGAATTAGACATAGATAGATAACGCTCCAGAATTAGACATAGATGAATAACGCTCAGAGATTAGACATAGATAGATAACGCTCAGAATTAGACATAAATAGATAACGCTCAGAATTAGACATAGATAGATAACGGGACAGAATTAGACATAGATAGATAACGCTCAGAATTAGACATAGATAAATGTAACAGAAGTTAGACATAGATAGATAAAGGACAGAATTAGACATAGATAGATAAGGGACAAGATTAGACATAGATAGATAAAGGGACAAGAATTAGACATAGATAGATAACGCTCAGAATTAGACATAGATAGATAACGACTCAAAATTAGACATAGATAGATAGGGACAGAATTAGACATAGATAGATAACGCTCAAATTAGACATAGATATTAGACATAGATAGATAAGGGACAGAATTAGACATTGATAGATAACGCTCAGAATTAGACATAGATAGATAATAGGGACAGAATTAGACATAGATAGATAACGCTCAGACATTAGACATCAATTGATAGATAGTAACGCTCAGAATTAGACATCAGATAGATAGATAGGACAGAATTAGACGCATTAGATAGATAACGCTCAGAATTAGACATAGACATAGATAGATAGTCAGAATTAGACATAGATAAGATAAAGGACAGAATTAGACATAGATAGATAACGCTCTCAGAATTGAACATAGATAGATATGGGACAGAATTAGACATAGATAGATAACGCTCAGAATTAGACATAGATAGATAACGCTCAGAATTAGACATAGATAGATAAAGGGACAGAATTAGACATAGATAGATTGAACATAGATAGATAACGCTCAGAATTAGACATAGATAGATAACGCTCAGAATAAAAACTAAAATTAGACATAGATAAGATGGGGACACAGATAGATAACGCTCAGAATTAAACATAGATAGATAACTCTCAAATTAGACATAGATGAATAAAGGGACAGAATTAGACATAGATAAATAACGCTCAGATTAGACATAGATAGATAACGCTCAGAATTAGACATAGATAGATAACATAGGGACAGAATTAGACATAGATAGACAACGCTCAAATTAGACATAGATAGATAACGCTCAAATTAGACATAGATAGATAAAGGGACAGAATTAGACAACAGATAGATAACGCTCAGAATTAGACATAGATAGATAACGCTTAGAATTATAGACATGAATATAATAACGCTCAGAATTAGACATAGATAGATAACGGACAGAATTTTACATAGATAGATAAAAGGGACAATTAGACATAGATGAATAACGCTCAGAATTAGACATAGATAGATGTACAGAATTAGACATAGATAGATAACGCTCAGAATTAGACATAGATAGATAATGCTCAGAATTAGACATAGATAGATAAGGGACAGAATTAGACATAGATAAATAAAGGGACAATTAGACATAATAGATAACGCTCAAGAATTAGACATAGATAGATAACGCTCAAGATAGATAAAAGCTAATTAGACATAGATAGATAAAGGGACAGAATTAGACATAGATAGATAACTCAGAATTAGACATAGATAGATAACGCTCAGAGAATTAGACATAGATAGATAAGGGACAAATTTAGACATAGATGAATAACGCTCAAATTAGACATAGATAGATAACGCTCAGAATTAGACATAGATAATTAACGCTCAGGAATTAGACATAGATAGATAACGCTCGAATTGAGACATAGATAGATAAAAGCAGAATTAGACATAGATAGATAAAGGGACAGAATTAGACATAGATAGATAACGCTCAAATTAGACATAGATAGATAACGCTCAGAATTAGACATGGATGAATAAAAGCTCAGAATTAGACATAGATAGATAAAGCTCAGAATTAGACATAGATATAGATAAGGGACAAAATTAGACATGAATAGATAACGCTCAGAATTAGACATAGATAGATAACGCTCAAATTAGACATAGATAGATAAAGGGACAGAATTAGACATAGATAAATAACGCTCAGAATTAGACATGGTGGATACGCTCAGAATTAGACATAGATAGATAACGCTCAGAGATTAGACATGAATAGATAAAGCTCAGAATTAGACATAGATAGATAAGGGACAGAATTAGACATAGATAGATAACGCGCTCAGAATTAGACATAGATAGATAACGCTCAAATTAGACATAGATAGTAACGCTCAGAATTAGACATAGATAGATAACGCTCAGGGTAGACATAGATAGATAACGTGACAGAATTAGACATAGATAATAACGCTTAGAATTGAACATAGATAGATAACGCTCAGAATTGAACATAGATGAATAACGCTCAAATTAGACATAGATAGATAACGCTCAGAATTAGACATAGATGGAATAAAGCTCAGAAATTAGACATAGATAGATAAGGGACAGGACAGATATAACGCTCAGACATAGATAGATAACGCTCAGAATTAGACATAGATGAATAAGGGACAGAATTGAACATAGATAAATAACGCTCAAATTAGACATGAATAGATAACGCTCAGAATTAGACATAGATAGATAACGGCAAATTAGACATAGATAGATAACGCTCAAATTAGACATAGATAGATAACGCTTAGAATAGATAGACATAGATAGATAATGAATAACGCTCAGAATTAGACATAGATAGATAAGGGACAGAATTAGACATAGATAGATAACGCTCAGAATTAGACGCAGATAGATAACACTCAAATTAGACATAGATAGATAAGGGACAGAATTAGACATAGATAGATAACGCTCAGAATTAGACATAGATAGATAACAACAGAATTAGACATAGATAGATAACGCTCAGAATTAGACATAGATATAGATAAAACTCAGAATTAGACATAGATAGATAAATGGGACAGAATTAGACATAGATAGATAACGCTCAGAATTAGACATAGATAGATAACGCTCAGAATTAGACATAGATAGTAACGCTCAGAATTAGACATAGATAGATGGCAACGCTCAGGGTTAGACATAGATAGATAACGGTTAAGAATTAGACATAGATAAATAACGCTCAAATTAGACATGAATAGATAACGCTCAGAATTAGACATAGATAGATAACGCTCAGAATTAGACATAGATAGATAAAAGGAATTAGACATGGTAATGAATGAATAGCTCAAGAATTAGACATAGATAGATAAGGGACAGAATTAGACATGAATAGATAACGCTCAGAATTAGACAACGAAATAGACCTTAACGCTAGATGGACATAGATAGATGAGGACATTAGACATAGATAAATAACTTGTCAGAATTAGACATAGATAGATAACAATCAGAATTAGACATAAGATAGATATGGGATAACTCAGAATTAGACATGGGTAGATAAAGCTCAGAATTAGACATAGATAGATAAGGACAGAATTAGACATAGATAGATAACGCTCAGAATTAGACATAGATAGATAACGCTCAGAATTAGACATAGATAGATAAAGCAACAGAATTAGACATAGATAAATAACGCTCAGAATTAGACATAGATAGATAACGCTCAGGACAGAATTAGACATAGATATAGATAACGCTCAGAATTAGACATAGATAGATAACGCTCAGAATTAGACATAGATAGATAAAGAAGCGCTCAGAATTGAACATAGATAGATAAGGGACAGAATTAGACATAGATAAATAACGCTCAGAATTAGACATAGATAGATAACAACTCAGAATTAGACATAATAGATAACGCTCAGAAATTAGACATAGATAGATAACGCTCAGAATTAGACATAGATAGATAACGACTCAGAATTAGACATAGATAATAAAGGGACAGAATTAGACATAGATAGATAACATGAAATTAGACATGAATAGATAACGCTCAGAATTAGACATAGATAATAACGACAAGATTAGACATAGATAGATAACTCAGAATTAGACATAGATAGATAAAGGGACAGAATTAGACATAGATAGATAACGCTCAGAATTGAACATAGATAGATAACGCTCAGGAATTAGACATAAGATAGGGACATTAGACGCACTAGATAAAATAACGCTCAGAAATTGACATAGATAGATAACGGACAAATTGAACAGATAGATAACGCTCAAATTGAGCATAGATAGATAAAGCTCAGAATTAGACATAGATAGATAACGCTCAGAATTAGACATGGATAGATAACGCTCAGAGATTAGACATAGATAGATAAGGACAGAATTAGACATAGATAAATAACGCTCAGAATTAGACATAGATAGATAACTCAAGATTAGACATAGATAGATAACGCTCAGAAATTAGACATAGATAGATAACGCTCAGAATTAGACATAGATAGATAAAGCTCAGAATTAGACATGAATGAATAGGGACCAGAATTAGACATAGATGAATTAACGCTCAGAATTAGACATATAGATAGATAACGCTCAGGAATTAGACATAGATAGATAACGCTCAAATTAGACATAGATAGTAACTCAGAATTAGACATGAATAGATAACGCTCAGAATTAGACATAGATAGATAACGGCGAATTAGACATAACCAGATGAGTCTTGCTTAGAATTAGACATAGATAGATAACGCTCAGAATTAGACATGAATAGATAGCAACTCAGAATTGACATGAATGGGTAAGGGACAGAATTGAACATAGATAGATAACTCAGAATTGAACATAGATAGATAAGGACAGAATTGGAGCTTAGAACTAGATAACCTCAAATTAGACTTAGATAGATAACGCTCAGAATTAGACATAGATAGATAAAGGACGAATTAGGGACAGAATTAGATATAGATAGATAACGCCTCAGAATTAGACATAGATGAATAAAGGGACAGAATTAGACATAGATGAATAACGCTCAGAATTAGACATGAATAGATAACGCTAGAATTAGACATAGATAGATGAGGACAGAATTAGACATAGATAGATAACGGCACTCAGAATTAGACATAGAGATAATGCTCCAAATTAGACATAGATAGATAAGGGAGAATTAGACATAGATAGATAACGCTCAAATTGAACATATAGATAGATAAGGGACAAATTAGACATAGATAGATAACGCTCAGAATTAGACATAGATAGATAACGCTCAAAGATTAGACATAGATAGGTAAGGGACAGAATTGGAGCATAGATAGATAACGCTCAATTAGACACTTAAATAGATAACGCTCAAAATTAGACATAGATAGATAAAGGGACAGAATTAGACATAGATAGATAACTCTCAGAATTAGACATAGATAGATAAGGGACAAATTAGACATAGATAGATAACGCTCAAATTAGACATAGATAGATAACGCTCAAATTAGACATAGATAGATAAGGGACAGAATTGAACATGAATAGATAACGCTCAAATTAGACATGAATGGTAACGCTCAGAATTAGACGCCGAATGAATAAGACAGAATTAGACATAGATAGATAACAAAATTAGACATAGATAGATAACGCTCAGAATTAGACATAGATAGATAACGCTAATTAGACATAGATAGATAAGGGACAGAATTAGACATAGATAGATACAGAATTAGACATAGATAGATAAGGGACAGAAGATAGACATAGATAGATAACGCTCAGAATTAGACATAGATAGATAACGCTCAGAATTGTACATAGATAGATAACGCTCAGAATTAGACATAGATAGATAACTCTCAGAATTAGACATAGATAGATAAGGGACAGAATTAGACATAGATAGATAACGCTCAGAAATTAAACATAGATAGATAACAGAATTAGATAGATAAGGCTCAGAATTAGACATAGATAGATAACGCTCAGAATTAGACATAGATAGATAACGGGAATTCAGACATTAGACAATAGACATAGATAGATAACGCTCAGAATTAGACATAGATAGATAACGCTCAGAATTAGACATAGATAGATAAGGGACAGAATTAGATAACAGGGTAGATAGATGGTATGCTCAGAATTAGACATAGATAGATAAAGGGACAGAATTAGACATAATAAATTCAGACATAGATATAACGCTCATAGACATAGGATAACGCTCAGAATTAGACATAGATAGATAAAGCTCATAGACATAGATGAATGAGGACAGAGATTAGACATGAATGAATAACGACATAGATAGATAACGCTCAGAGGAATAGATAACGCTCAGAATTAGACATAGATAGGGACAGAATTAGACATAGATAAATAACGCTCAAATTAGACATAGATAGATAACGCTCCAAATTAGACATAGATAGATAACGCTCAGAATTAACCATAGATAGATAAAGCTCAGAATTAGACATGAATAGATAAAGGGACAGAATTAGACATAGATAGATAGCAACTCAGAATTAGACATAGATGAATGGGGACAATTTAGACATAGATAGTAACGCTCAGAATTAGACATAGATAGATAACGCTCAGAATTAGACATAGATAGATAAGGGCAGAATTAGAACATAGATAGATAACGCTCAGAATTAGACATAGATAGATAACATCAAGAACATAGATAGATAAAGATAGATAGACATAGATAGATAAGGGACGAATTAGAATGAATAACGCTTAAGAATTAGACATAGATAGATAACGCTCAGAATTAGACATAGATAGATAACGCTCAGAATTAGACATAGATAGATAGGGACAGAATTAGACATAGATAAATAACGCTCAGAATTAGACATAGATAACGATCCAAATTAGACATAGATAGATAAGGGACAGAATTAGACATAGATAGATAACGCTCAGAATTAGACATAGATAGATAACGCTCCAGAATTAAGGCATAGATAGATAACGCTCAGAATTAGACATAGATAGATAACGGACAGAATTAGACATAATGATCAATTGAACATAGATAGTAACGCTCAGAATTGAACATGAATGAATAACACTCAGAATTAAGCATAGATAGATTACGCTCAGATTAGACATAGATAACATGATGAATAACGCTCAGAATTAGACATAGATAGATAACGCTCAGAATTAGACATAGATAAGATAAAGGTTACGAATTAGACATAGATAGATAACGCTCAGAATTGACACATAGATAGATGAGGGACAAGATGAGACATAGATAATAACGCTCAGAATTAGACATGATAGATATACTTGCTCAAGATTAGACATAGATAGATAAAGGATGAAATTAGACATAGATAAATAACGCTCAGAATTAGACCAGAGATTAGATAAAGGGACAGAATTAGACATAAGATAGATAACGCTCAGAATTAGACATAGATGAATGCTTGCTCTAAAATTAGACATATAGATAAGATAAGGGACAGATATTAACGCTCAGAATTAAACATAGATAGATAACGCTCAGAATTAGACATAGATAGATAAGGGACAGAATTAGACATGAATAAATAACGCTCAAGATTTGGAACATAGATAGATAACGCTCAGAATTAGACATGAATTAGATTAGACATAAGGGACAGAATTAGACATAGATAGACAGAATTAACATAGATAGATAAACAGAATTAGACATAGATAGATAACGCTCAAATTAGACATTAAACCTTAAATAGATAAGGGACAGAATTAGACACAGATAGATAACGGCGAAATTAGACATAGATATTAGACATAGATAGATGAAGCTCAAAATTAGATTACGCTCAAATGAACATAGATATAAAAGGGACAAATTGGGCATAAGATCGATAACGCTCAGAATTAGACATAGATAGATAAGGGACATAAGATAGATAACTAGACATAGATGATGAATGAATAGATCAGGGACAGAATTAGACATAGATAAATAGATAAATTAGACATGAATGAATAACGCTCAAAATTAGACATAGATAGCAATCAGGACAGATAGATAAAAGCTCGAATTAGACATAGATAGATAAAGGGACAGAATTAGACATAGATAGATAACTCAGAATTAGACATAGATAGATATAGGGACATAGATGATTGAACCAAATTTAGACATAGATAAATAACGCTCAAATTAGACAGATAGATAACGCTCAAATTAGACATAATGATAACGCTCAGAAATTAGGATAGATAACGCTCGAGACATAGATAGATAAAAGCTCAGAATTAGACATAGATAGATAAAGGGACAGAATTAGACATGAATAATAACGCTCAAATTAGACATAGATAGATAACGCTCAGAATTAGACATAATGATGCTCAGAATTAGACGCTCAGATAAAGCTTTAGACATAAGATAGATAAGGGACAAAATTAGGGACAGAATTAGACATAGATAGATAATGCCCAATTAGACATAGATAGGATAACGAAACAGAATTTAGACATAGATAGATAACGCTAGAATTAGACAGATAGATAACAGAATTAGACATAGATAGATAAGGGACAGAATTAGACATAGATAGATAACGCCTAAACGACAGATAGATAGATAGCTCAGAATTAGACATAGATAGATAACAGAATTAGATATAGATAGATAACGAGAATAGATAGAGATAGATAGAATTAGAATAGATAGATAGCAGAAAGATAGATTAGACATAGATAGATAACAGAATTAGACATAGATAGATAACGCTCAGAATTAGACATAGATAGATAAGGGACAGAATTAGACATAGATAGATAATAGCATAGAATTAGACATAGATAGATAACGCTCAGAATTAGACATAGATAGATAAACGCTCAGAATTAGGACACAGATAGATAATTAGCTCAGAATTAGACATAGATAGATAACGCTCAGAATTAGACATAGATAGATAACGCTCAGAATTAGACATAGATAGATAAGGGACAGAATTAGACATGATAGATAACTCTCAAATTAGACATAGATAGATAGCAACTCAGAATTAGACATAGATAGATAACGGGACAGAATTAGACATAGATAGATAACGCTCAGGAATTAGACATAATAGATAAGGGACAGAATTAGACATAGATAGATAACACTCAAGAATTAGACATAGATAGATAACACTCAGAAATTAGACATGAATAGATGAGGGTTAAGAATTAGACATAGATAAATAACGCTCAGAATTAGACATAGATAGATAACGCTCAGAATTAGACATAGATAGATAAAGCTCAGAATTAGACATAGATAGATAAAAGACAAGAATTAGACATGGGCAGATAACTCAGAATTGGCATGCATTAGATAGATAATAGCTCTCAGAATTAGACATAGATAGTAACGCTCAAAATTGGGCATAGAATTAGACCTTAGATAGATAGATAGCAACGAATTAGACCTTAGATAGATGGCATTAGAATTAGATATAGATAGATAACGCTCAATTGAGACATAGATAGATAACACTCAGAATTAGACATAGATAGATAAGGACAGAATTAGACATGGATAGATAACTTTAGCTCAGAATTAGACATGAATAATGAGGACAGAATTAGACATAGATAGATAACGCTCAGAATTAGACCTAGATAGATAAGGACAGAATTAGACATAGATAGATAAAGGGACAGAATTAGACATAGATAAATAACGCTCAGAATTAGACATAGATAGATAACGCTCAGGGACATAGATATAGATAACGCTCAGAATTAGACATAGATAGATAACGCTCAGAATTAGGATAGATAAAGAAGCAGAATTGAACATAGATAGATAAGGGATGGAACTAGACATAGATAGATAACGCTCAGGAGTTAGACATAGATAGATAACATCAGAATTAGACAGATAACGCTCAGAATTAGATACAGATAGATAACGCTCAGAATTGAGCTTATGACGATATAGAATTAGACATAATGCCCAGAATTAGACAAAATAGATAGATCAATTAGACATGACTCAGAATTAGACATAGAGATAAGGACAAGATTAGACATAGATAGATAACGCTCAAATTGAACATGAATAGATAAAGGGACAGATTAGACATAGAATGGAACATCAGAATTAGACATAGATAGATAAATGCTCAGAATTAGACATGGTAAGATGAGGGACAGAATTAGACGCACTAGATAAAATAACGCTCAGAAATTAGACAAATACAGATAGATAACGCTCAAATTGGACAGAATTAGACATAGATAGATAACGCTCAGAATTAGACATGACAGGACAACACCAGAATTAGACATAGATAGATAACCTCAGAATCTGACATAGATAGATAACGCTTAGGAATTAGACATAGACAGATAATGCCCAGAATTAGACAGATAGATAACGCCTGGGAATTAGACATACAGATAGATATGGACAGAATTAGATAACGCTCAGAATTAGACATAGATAGATAACGCCAGAATTAGACACAGATAGATAAGGGACAGAATTAGACATAGATAGATAAAGCTCAGAATTAGACATAGATAGATAAGGGACAGAATTAGATACAGATAGATAACGCCCAGAATTAGACATGATAGATAATGCCCAGAATTAGACATAGATAGATAACGCTCAAATTGACATGTAGATAGATAACGCTCAGAATTAGACATAGATAGATAACGTGGACAGAATTAGACATAGATAGATAAGGACAGAATTAGACATAGATAGATAACGCTCAGAATTAGACATGATAGATAAAGCTCAGAATTAGATGTTATAGATAGATAAGGACATACATGATAGATGTCGCTCAGAATTAGACATAGATAGATAAGGGACAAGAATTAGACATAGATAGATAACGCTCAGAATTAGACATAGATAGATAACGACAGAATTAGACACAGATAGATAATAGATAGAATTAGACATGATAGATAACGCCTAGAATTAGACATGAATAGATAACTCTCAAGAATTAGACATAGATAGATAACGGGACAGAATTAGACATAGATAGATAATGCTCAGAATTAGACATAGATAGATAAGGGACCAATTAGACATAGATAGATAACGGACAGAATTAGACAGATAGATAACGCTCAGAATTAGACATAGATAGATAAAGCCCAGAATTAGACATAGATAGATAACGCTCAGAATTAGACATAGATAGATAACGCTCAGAATTAGACATAGATAGATAAGGGACAGAATTAGACATATGATAGATAACGCCAGAATTAGACACAGATAGATAACGCTCAGAATTAGCCTTAGATAGATAAGGGACAGAATTAGACAGATAGATAACGCTCAGAATTAGACATAGATAGATAAGGGACAGAATTAGACATTGATAGATAACGCTCAGAATTAGACATAGATAGATAAGGGACAGAATTAGACATAGATAGATAACGCTCAGAATTAGACATAGATAGATAATTAGACACAGCCTAGAATTAGACATAGATATGGAAGAATTAGACATAGATAGATAACGACAGAATTAGACATAGAGAGATAATGCCTGGGGAATTAGACATAGATAGATGACAGACCAGATATAGACCCAGAATTAGGACATAGAGATAGATAACGCCCAGAATTAGACATAGATAGATAAGGGACAGAATTAGACATAGATAGATAACGCTCAGAATTAGACATATAGATAGATAACGCTCAGAATTAGACATAGATAGATAGGACAGAATTAGACACAGATAGATAACGCTCAGAATTAGACATAGATAGATAACGCTCAGAATTAGACATAGATAGATAAGGGACAGAATTGATATAGATAGATAACGCCCAGAATTAGACATAGATAGGATAAGAATTAGAATTATAGATAGATAACGCTCAGAATTAGACATAGATAGATAACGCTTCCAGAATTAGACATAGATAGATAAGGACAGAATTAGACATAGATAGATAACGTGCTCAGAATTAGACATAGATAGATAACGCTCAGAATTAGACATAGATAGATAAGACAGAATTAGACATAGATAGATAACGCTCAGAATTAGACATAGATAGATAACGCTGAATTACACAGATAGATAACGCTCTAGAATTAGACATAGATAGATAACGCCCAGAATTTTACATAGATAGATAACGCTCAGAATTAGACATAGATAGATAACTCTCAGAATTAGACATAGATAGACAACGCTGAAATGTACATAGATAGATAACGCTCAGAATTAGACATAGATAGATGAATGCTCAGAATTAGACATAGATAACGCTCAGAATTAGACATAGATAGATAAGGGACAGAATTAGACATAGATAGATAACGGACTCAGAATTAGACATAGATAGATAAGGACGAGAATTAGACATAGATAGATAACGCTCAGAATTAGACATAGATAGATAACGCTCAGAATTAGACATAGATAGATAAGGACAGAATTAGACATAGATAGATAACGCTCAGAATTAGACATAGATAGATAACGCTCAGAATTAGACATAGATAGATAACGCCCAGAATTAGACACAGATAGATAACGGACAGAATTAGACATAGATAGATAACGGCAGAATTAGACATAGATAGATAAAGGGACAGAATTAGACATAGATAGATAACGCTCAGAATTAGACATAGATAGATAACGGACAGAATTATTACACATAGATAGATAAGGGACAGAATTAGACATAGATAGATAACGCTCAGAATTAGACATAGATAGATAAGGGACAGAATTAGACATAGATAGATAACGCTCAGAATTAGACATAGATAGATAACGCTCAGAATTAGACATAGATAGATAAGGGACAGAATTAGACATAGATAGATAACGCTCAGAATTAGACATAGATAG